CAGCCTGCATTGATACCAGCAGTTGCTCCGGCCCAGATGCAGGACCCTACACTTGGCCTTGTTGAACCTCATGAAATTCACCTGGACCCACCTCTCCAACCTGTCCAAGGCACTCTGGATGGTATCCCATCCCTCTGGTATATTGACTGCACCACCCAGGTTGGTGTGGGTAGGGTCCGTACCGGGACCAATACTTCTACTATCTCCATCAACGACACAGTGGGATTGAGTGCACCATCAGCAAGTTTGAAGATGACACCAAGCTGAGTGGTGCGGTTGACACATCTGAGGGACAGGATGCCATCCAGAGGGACCTGGACAAGCTTAAGAAGTGTGGCTTGTGTCTCCATATCATGGAGAGTGGCTTGGTGACTACATCAGCCAATTCCCTCAGGGCTCTGGGATGCATCTCATCAGGTCCCATAGACTTATGTATGTTCAGGTTCCTCAGGTGGTCACGAACCTGATCTTCTCTTACTGTGGGAGGAACTTTGCTCCCCCAGTCCCCGTCTTGCAGCCCATCCACTCGAGAGGTGTGGGAAAAGAGGCTGCCAGTGAAGACTGAGGCAAAAAAGTTGTTGAGTGCCTCAGCCTTCTCCTCGTTCATCGTTACCAGTTTGCCAGTTGTGTTCATCAGGGGCGGTAGGCTTTCTTTGACCTTCTTTTTCTGGATGACATACCTATAGAAGCCCTTATTATTATTTTTTACATCCCTTGCCAAGTTCAGCTCCACCCATGCCTTGGCTTTCCTGACCCCATCCCTACACAACCAGGCAGTGCCCCTATACTCTTCCCAGGATACCTGTCCCTGCTTCCACTGCCTGAACATTTCCTTCTTGCCCTTTAGTTTGACTAGCAGGTCTCAACATATCCGTGCTGGCCGCTTGACTTGCTTTCCTGATTTCTTACACCTGGGGTTTGAGAGGTCTTCCACTCTATGGAAAGCGTCCTTAAAGACCTGCCAGCTCTGTTCTGCTCCCTTGTCCCAGAGGGCAGTTTCCCAGGGGGTCCTGTTGACTAACTCCTTGAACAGCTGGAATTTTGCGTTCCTAAAATTCAGAATCCTGACTTTACTCTTCACCTGACCCATGTCCCTCAGGTCTGTGAACTCCACCAGTACACGATCACTGCAGCCCAGGCTGCCTCCAGTCTTGACATCACTGATTAGCTCACTTGCATTGGTGACTATCAAGTCCAGTATCGCATCCCCTCTGGTACGGCTGTCTACTACCTGGCTTAAGTTATCCTCAATGCATTCCAGGAGTCTCCTGGATTGCCTACAGCTCAGCATGCTACTTTTCCAGCGGATGTCAGGGTGGTTGAAGTCCCACAGCAGGACAAGAGCCTGTGAGCGCAAAGCCTCCTGTAATTGGAGTAAGAAGGCTTCATCCATAGGCTCCCCTTGATCGGGTGGTCTGTAGTAAACACGATCTACAAGGTTCCCTCTGTTGCCTTGGTCTAATTCTCACCCACAAGCTTTCAGCGTGCTCGTGGCTATTCTTCACAGAAAGCTCTTCACAATCTATTAATTTATTGACGTAGAGGGCGAGTAGGTAGCAGATAATAAGGGGTCTCTTTTGACTTGAATGGGGCTTGGAATTGGTTTTGCAGCAGCAGTAATGCTCACAGACCTGTTTCCAGAGATGAAGCATCAGATGCCAACAAAGAATCAGTTGCAAGAGTTGGTATTGTGATCTCATCCGCTGCTTTTATGATGCCAAGAAGAAGCAGGAACTCCACCTGTTCCACCTTCTCTAGCATTCATCTAAGTCCACCTGCCACCATTTCCTGGGGTCACTGCAATGTATCTGCATGGGAGCATGGCAAGAGATTTTCATATTTTCCAGCTGTATTTGCGTTAGCAGATGTGTTGTGACTTCCCATTTATTTGAAATGCCAATGGAACTGGCCTGCTTTACATTTCGCTAATGTAGGCTGGTGGACTTGAAATGTACTGGGGATCATTTATATGAAGTACAACAGGGGCTGTGGAGAGAATACATTACTCTTGATGTGCTGAGGTCCCTTCCCACAGAGAGGGGCCTCCCTCCTGGGGAAACATGCCTTTGTTATTTGACACAGCCACCATAGTGGTGTCAGCCTTGCAGAACATTTTGCATCTTGCTGTTCATTCCTTTCCTAGCCATGGACTATGGTGTGCCCTCACCTCCATTGGAAGTGACACCCTAGTACTCCTCCTCCTCTCTCCATGGGCACCAAAGAAATTGATTTTGATAGGGAGGTGGGGAAAGATGGTCAGAATGGATGGGCTTTGACTAGCCCTGACTGATACTCCTGGTCCTTTGTTTCTCTCCTTCCTCTGCCTGCAGGCAGGCAGGCTGAATGCTACCTCCAATTAAAGGGAAAGTCAGCAGTGCTGATGGGAAGGACAGCACTGGGAAGCAGAGCTTGCTGCAAAATGCAGATACAGCCAAAGTGCATTAAAGATTTGTAAGGACCTCTCTAATGCCTATCAGAGCAGGATTCAATCAAGGTAAGCTTTTTCCTGTCTCAAAGAGCCACTGCAGGTTGCAGAGGAAATCTAAACGATAGGCAGAGCTGTTGCCACGTCCTGGACTCCCTCTGTGGTGTGACTGACAAAGAAAGGCTGTACCTACAGGGCTTCCACATCCTGCCAGAGCTTGGGACTCTATGGATACAGCCGAGCAACTTTGCTCATTACCGTACAACCTTCATGTCACTAGTCCTACACTGAGCCCTTGAAAAGTCATGAGGAAATGCAGAGTAGATGCATGTTACAGGAGCCCTTTGGCCAGCATTGCAGTGCCACAGCTCACCCCTTCCCTCTCCCTTTTGGTGCATGAGAATACCACATTTTCAGCTTGGAAAAGGCTGTCTTCAGGTCTCAAATCAAGATATGAGTGTTATGCTATCCTGAAATAATCTCGTAGTCCAAGCCAGCACATCTGGAGATTCGGTTGAGCTTGAAGACAGTGTTACAAACTGAAAGATGGAGGAGTGGACTATCCTCCAGTGAGCTGAATAACGCCAGAAAATGGCAAAGTGCTTTAGGATCCTGATTTTGTATTCCAACACTGACAGTCTGCTAGTCTTGCAGAGTTTGACAAGCATCAGACATGCATCAATCTGTCTCTTACCCAAAGATGTCCTGGCTGGTGTGGAGTCTCTCTTGATCCAGAAGGAAACCCAGGAAAGAACAACAGTCAGGATGCAGGGAATGTAGGTCTGAATGGCAAAATAACCCATACGTCTACTTAGGTCAAAAGAAACTGTCATCACCATGTACTCCCCTAGGAAAAAGCAACAGGGACATTGGAATTGTAACATGTGGCTTCCTAAAACACAAAAATCAGCAAAGTTTCAGAATTTGTAATGTTTCTCCTGAGGTTTTCTTGTTCTAAGGGCCTGGATGGATGGTTTTGTGGCTGGCTTTGTGGCTGCCCAGATTGTTAGCTTCATGGACAGCTGTGCGACTGGCTGAGCACGTTTGGTGACTTGCTGGCATTGTGGCTGGCTTGCTGGTTTTGTGGCTAGTGGACTCTGTGGCTACCTGGCTGGCTCTGTAGCTGTCTGACTTAATGTCTTTGTGACTAATTTAAGAGCTGATTTTGTGGTTGCCCAACTGGCTGGCTGCCTGCCTGGTTGGCTGTGTGGCCACCAGGCTGCATTTGTACTGGCCTGCCTATGTGTCCAAGCATACTGAAAAGCACACTGTCTGGAAAAGTTTCAGGGAAGAAGCTATAGAGAGTATTCATCTTCGGCTCTTTGCTGCAAGGGTTTCTTTTCTATAGAAGCTATTTAGATGTAACAGGCTGCACGGTCTGGCTGGCTAACTACCTGCCTGAGCTGTGACAAAGGAGGCGTCTTTCAATCGCTTTCATTGAGACTCTGGTTCTGCCCCTGGAAAAGGCATGTGGTGCTGTACATCCTAATTGCTCATTTGGCAACTTACAGCTGAGGTTCCTCCTCTTTTTCAGAGGCTCCTAGTAAGCATTGGAAGAAAGCCACCCAACAGCTCTGGGATTAAGATGGAGCTTGCAAGCAATTACGAAAAAACAGAATTACAAATGTCAGACAGCCATTGGTGCATTCAAGACACTTTCACTGCACCACTTCTTGTCCCAGTTAGTGCTGCCTTTACCCTGGATAGAGGCTGGCTGCCAGTGTTGGCAACAGCAGCTTTCTGCAGAGTGGGAGAAGCACTACCTGAACTTGCTGCTTCAGAGGGCTTCAAAATATGAGCTCATCCCACCTACAGGAATCCAAACAGTCTTTCCTCAGTTGTCTGTGGGAAGGAAAGGGGATGTGAGCTATTATGAGGAGGAGGAGCTGAAGGGCCTCCATTCCCTAGTTTCTTCACACATGCAGCCTTGTTCCTGTCTCTTAAAGCATAATTCAGGTGTTCATCAGCCCCACACAACTTTACAGAAGGAGAGACCTGCAAGTTCTGTTTTCCCCACCCCTGTTCTAATTATAACCATCACCTAGAGATCACATAGTATGCACATACGGCAGCAAGAGTGGATCTGAGCTCTATCTCCTCTCCCTCTTGACTCTTCAATTAGGGATAGCTTCATTCACGTCAGCATTGTCACCCCACAGTTCACAAATGTCAGTGGTTCTGGCCTACCCCTGCTTCATCTTTCCTTCACCCTTCATCTCCATCACTACTGCGCTCTCTAGCAAAGGTCCATCCCTTCATTCTTATGTTTCTCTAACTGTCCTGTTGTGACCGTCCTTCCCCACCACTGTGGAGCTATCTCATGACTCCTTTGCCTCCCATGTGGTCTCCAACACACTGGTGTTTCTGTGGGCTGTCTCCCTTTGCCTCACCTGCCCCAGTCCTGAGAACTTCTGAGGTGTTTCTCAGCCCTGTGAAGTCAAACTGATAGAGCCTCCAGGTCCGCTGGTCGGAGACCTCAATGGAGTAGCGCCTCCAGCGATAGACAATTTCCTCGCGTGGGTAGCCATCTGGGAAAAGGGGCAAGGACATCAATGAAAGAGTATGTCATGTGCCTCCACATCATTCACCATGTGCCTCCACATCATTCACCACCCTGACTTTGAAAGACCTGGCATCTCACTCTAGCTGTTTTGTGAACATGAAACTTTCAGGCAGGTATTTCTGATACCTTTTGTTTAGATTCCTTTAGGCATCCCAAAAGGGGATGGGAGTAGGGACAGCAGTAGGAGTAGGGACACCATCCCTTGTGGGCCACTTCAAATCCTAGGGATAGGAAAAGCAACGCTGGAAACAGAGCCTTTCTAAGGACTGCACTGGTGGGAATGAGACTTGGGTTGGTGTAAGAGGACTGCACCAGCCTAAAATCTTTGAGGTTTTATCTCCCTGGTGCAGCATGGGGCCTTCAGCTGCTCCTCATGACTACCTTCCCTTCCCAAGCATGAGTACACCAGGAACACAAAGGTGCCTACATGAGAGGCAGCATGGCTATGGCTGCTGTAGCTCTGTACCTTGTGTCCTGGGACCCGATCTATGTATGGAAAAGGAGGGGTGCATTCTTCCTGGAGAAGAAGACCTGGCTCCTGCAGGCTGAAGCATGGCTTCTCCTGGTCTGTCTTTCTTGACAAAGAAACAAGCCTACTGTGAAGCAGGGACCTCGACACCTACGAGAGAGTTCCTCAGAGAAGGGAAGGAGCAAGAGCTTGGCAGCTAACTAAAACTGTATTTCTAATTAGCGAGCATGTATGGCATGTACTGTTAATTAGCAAAGAATGAGGGATGGTGGGAGACGAGGGGATGGTATCTCCTCAGCACGCTGCCTCCCTCTGAAGCACCTCAGAGCCACGTGAGCTGCATCTCTTCAGTGGAAGGGGAAGCGGGAGAGGTGAACCCGAGCTAAGATGACTAAATCAGATTTTCAGCCAACGCATGAGGACAGAAATCTCTTGGTGCAGAAAGGCTCCCTGCAAAATTCCAAGTGGAGATGTGCCAACATCAGCAGCCCTCTCTGCTGATCAGAATGGACAAGGGGGGACTGAGAGGGGAGGTCTGAGTGCCCCTCCTTTGCAATGGCCTTGGGTGCAGAAAGTGGGCCTGTCTGAGGTCTGGAAAGCCAAGCTGTCCCCTCAGAGAGCAGGGGAAGGGGGAAGATGCAAGGCAGGATGGGTGCCATTTGTCTGCCAGCTGAAGGGATATATGAAGGTGAGTGAAATAATCACCTCCAACCGTCCACCCAAACTCAGGAGAAACTCAGGGGTGCTGTGAATCTGTCCCTGATGACCTCTGCTAGCCCAGGAGTGGGAGGATGCTTCAGAGCATGACATGTAATGGCCCAGGAAGAGGTTCAAAGAGATTAGGTGAAAAAATGCTAAAAGGGAGGATGGTGTCCCCAGAAGTTTTAGTCTACTGAGGTTTCTTTACTTGCCTTCTAAAACTGTTTAAAAAATATGTATACTCACAACTGGAAAAAACCAAAGGGCAGGAGTGAGTGTCCATTGGGAAATTCTGCAGCTGGAGCAGACATTCAGCCTCGATCGTCAGCCTGAAAGAGGAAGAGAGAGAGAGGGAGACTAAGATTTTGTGTTGGTGAAGGTCGTTTGATTCCAACACCGGAATGTGACAGAGGAATTCTTGCTTCCTTGAGAGAGAAACACTAATTTGTTGAAGATCAGTCTGTTTGCAGGAACATTTCAAAACAGCAGGAAAAGAAAACATATGTTTGGATATTTTCAAAGTAAGAAAAACCATATAATTCTCACATTCAAAAAAGCCTTTTTTTTAATAAGCTTTTCAGATTCATTTGTGGGAGTAAGAATTTATGGGAACAAAAGCCAAATGTTTATTATCAGAATGCAATAGCTGGACTGACTAACATAAACTTTTAAAGGATTTTAGTTTAGGAAAACATTTGTAGTTTTGACTTTTTTCTAGGTATGATATGGAAAAAACAGTGGTTTTTTTGGAAGCCTTTATCCTGGGAAGAGGAAGCCCATTCTGCAACCAGTACTGCATGTGTACTCCCATCAGCACTGGGAGACATCTCCCAGGGCACCTGGAAACCTCCTCTGCTTTGAGTTCCCTCACCTCAGCAGCAAAATACAGTGCCTGCTGGATGTACCTGAGTGTGTAGAGCACTTTTCCGTCATTCCAGATGCGGAGGAGCTGATTAGGAGTGGTTATCCAGTGGGAATCAGCCCTCTTGGAGTTCCTAAAAAAGGTATCTGGGATCCAGATGCGGCTCACCATGTTGGTGTTCAGTGTGAGGGCCTTCAAGGTGCTGTTGAAACGAAGACGCCGGTCATACCATGTCTGAGCAAAGAAGATATCAATGGTGTATTCCTGTGAAAGAGAAAGAAGAACATGTCTTTCTGGGAGGGATTTAGGCAAAGCGGAGCCCTCTCCTCTGGTCTGCAGGCCATTGTTTTGGAGTGACAGCCAGAACATTTGCTTTTTAACTCTGGGAGCAGGTGACCACTGATAGCTTTCCAGGCTCATCTTTAGCTTGGGGTCAGGACACTTAGGAGGAGCCAAAGACTGTGTGTTGACTGGTAGGCTGAGCTGTAGCACGTTTGGCCTAACCCATGCCTGGAAAGCCAAGATGATGCAAACAAAGGCTTGAGCTTCCTCTTGATGGACAGCTCAAGCCAAACACTCCTTTTAAGCACAGGCATGAAGGAACAGTGTGGATGTTGGGTGAATCCAGTCCTAAGCTCAGCTACACCTCTCAAACACAGGCAAAAAAAAAGCTGCTCACCAGCTTGTCAGAGAAGACAGTCAGCCTTTTCTGTTATTTATTAGGGTACAGCCCAGCAGTGCTCCATACACTTAATTTGTGCATATAGCAAAAGTAGTGCTGTGCATAAACCTAGTGAGAACCCATTCCTTACTGCAGGACGTATACTGTAAATGGTTAATGTGAAAAACCAAGGCACTGTGGGTTCCTGGGCAGGTACCCCTTGCCGAAGTTTAGAAAAGGAAGCTGGGACAGGCACTGCTATGGACCCAGCTCTTGGTGCAAGCAGGTCAAAATCTTGAATCTTTTGCAGGCAGAAAACAGAGTTTCCATCATAATGAGGACCTTTGGTTTTGGTGAGAGAGAGTGTGTCCTAGCTTACTGATAACTAGCATTTCTGGGAGGCAGCTCCTGTCTGGATTGGACTGGCAGTAGTCCACATCATTAGCCCATGGTTCTGCTGATTGCTGCTGCAAGCCAATTTGCTCCTTACCCTCTCTTTCAGCCAGCTTGAGAAGGTGCTAATTAGTGCCATGCAGGAGCATGTCTGGCACTCAGTGGCTGTCTGAACCAAACCCCAAATCCAGCCCGTACTAAAGGCTGTTACCTGCTCCTAACAGCTTCTCTCTGACTTGGACTTTGCTCCCTTTCACTCCTGTTAAACCTCCATGACCACAGAGGTATTGTCTCCGTCTCTCCTGTAGGCAGAGATGAACAATGTCTGACTTTGACATCTCCCCCTCTCATTCCACTCCTCCCTCTATTGATTTATCTCAGTGGAATTTTTATGACTGCAGCACATCCTCCCTCTTCTTCCCTTGTTGCTGGTTCAGTGCCGACTTCTCAAACCATGCTGTTAAAAAAGATGTGGTGCTCTTAGTGTGCTCCCTTGGACAGCATGTCCTACCAGGGGCAGGCAGAACAGGGCAGCGAGCTCAGGACTCCCTGCTTCATTTTCCTCACCCTTGCTCCGCTGTCAGCCAACCAGTGATGAGTGATTGGTACTTAAAACGACCTTTGCATAGGAATGAGATCATGAGAAAAGAGCATTTGCTGTCAGGCGGTCGAGTCACTCTCTGGGCTGATCCTTCATTAAACATAGGGGTGAGCAAAGGTGGTGGCAGTGAGGTCCTAACATGTTTCTGAATGGGGACAGATGCAGCAGGTTAAAAGTGAAGGCATTGCCTCTATAGTTCATTCAAAACAGACATGAGGAGACACAGAGCTAGAATAGCATCATCCCTCAAAGCCAAGTGCACAAGCATGGCCACTGCCCAAAAACAGGAGGTGGGGTAAGCCCGTTCCAGCATCTGAATTCTCTGGATCACACAGGATACTGCTTGGGCATAGGGTATGTGGTGATGAAGACATGGATCAGGTTGTGAAACAGTGAAATGGAGCCCACAGGCTGGCAAAGAAGCATTGGCACAGCAAGGACAAGATGGGGCAATGGAAGCCCAAGAAAACAATATATATGGAGAGGGCTGACTTTATTCTGTTTGGGGCCATTTTCTTTTCTTTGCCAGCTGTTGGGGCCAAAATAACACAACATTTGACATACACTCCCCCACCCCTGCAAACCCTGTTTGAGCCAGTGTGAGCTTACACTGCTCCTCCTAAGCAATATCTCTGGTGTAGGAGAAAGCAACCAAAAATGCAATGATAAATCCATGTTAGATGTCACTATCAGTTTCTAACTCCTAACTGGAGTGACTTGTGAGATCTCACTTCTGGGCTGGCTGGTCAGGTTAGATGTCCTGCTGTAAAGTTCAGCATTCAGGGCTGGGATGACCAATGCTAATGTTTTGAGAGAGCTGGGGGTCAACTATCCCAGGGGTTTAGTATTTGTTGTCAAGTCCAGGTTTTCAGAAAGGATCAGCATTAGAGATCTCCTCTTGTGCCATTCATAGCCAGCCTTTGCAAAAGGTGTAGTGCACAAGTCATTCAGCTCTTCTGAAAAATCTGAGCTGTTATTGTCACTGTCCTGTGGTTTGATCTAATTTCAGCGGCTATTATTAGCACAGCTATTCACAAAGAAGACTTACTAGCTGAGCTGGCTCCCGGGCCTCTAGGTGGGGGAACCCATTGGGAAATGTTGGTATTTACAAATGTATTTTCATTCAGAATTATCTGAGGCAAGATTTATACAAAAATGCTCTGGCCTTTGGGAGCACTTTACCCTTCCAATTCTGTCCCCCATCCCACTGTGGGGGAGTGAGGAAGCATCCGTCTGGTGCTCAGTTGCCAGCTGGGGTTAAACCGCAGCAGTTCCTGAGGACTTTGGCACCTGTTCCCATTAGGTGTGGTTTGCACTGATGCTGAGGAACTTTGCACAACAGCGGCTCTGCACTGATCAACTGTGGGCCAGACCTTTCTCTGAGCATTAATCAGATCCCACTTAGCTGTAGGTATCTGACCAAGGTGATAAACATAGGAGGCATTTGACTATGGGTTCCCTACAGTCACTGGAGAGGGGTAGGCACTTCTGGAGGGAGATCCCAATATGAAGCAGTCCAAGCTGTCTTCTGGAAATGCCTCACATTCTTATTGACCTTAGAAGAGTCCAGGCTGATCAAGACTGAATAGTTAAAGATTGGTGGGATGAGCTCAGCCCCTAACACTATCCCTGTAGCTTCCCTCTGCCCCTGATTCACTCCCAAGCATCAGAGAAAGACTTCTCAATACCTCAATTTCCCCATGTGGAAAAAGGTTATTGTAAAATACGCCTCCAACATTACTGTACCATCTGCTGTGCAGCACATGGAGGTTGTTAACTTCTCTGTAAAGGCATGGGCTTTTTTAGTGTTTTCAACAGAAGGAGCTAGCAAAATAAGAGGAATTGCTCTAACAGTTAGGTCACGCCATTTGAATCACACATGGGGTAGCACACACATGTTGGCATGCATGCAATATTGCATCAAACTTCAGTCATAAAATAATAAACTACCCGTAAAGCAAACTGAAGACTGCCTACCCTAAATACTATCATGTGAGTTCATCCAATGCTGAGGAATGCCCTGCAGCGTTGCTGCTGCTAGCTGTGTGGGCTCGTGTCCAATTTAGCCTTCCAGCATGTCCCTGCTGGCCCTTGGTCACCGTCATCACCTGGCACTGCCGCACATCACTGAGCAGTCCTCGTTTTCCTCATGTGGGCAGCACAGATGCTGGTGGAAACCCAGTTCCAAAAAATGGTAAAATCTGAAAACACTTAATGGAAAAAACCCTGTCCTGTAAAAGAGCATTTGTGGAAAATAAGGGGCTGTGGAGTTGACAAGGATATTTAATCTTGGAAGAAAAAAAAATTAAAGAACAAAAGGATTTTGCTGCACTCTTGTCCTGGTTTTGGCTGAGATAGAGCACAAAGGCACAAAGACTTGCTAGGCTCATACTATATTATAGGATAATAATAAATAATAATAGTAGCTGGCCTTTTGTGAAACTGGCTTCCAAAATCCAGGTAGCAGACTACTATGTTTTTGTGGCTTTCACCTCTGCAAACTGACTCGATTCACCTTCTCCTTCAACAATTTCTGCAACTTGTAGGGGACTCCATACAGCAGCCTTCCACCTCCGGTGCTTTCCTGCAGTACAACAGGACCCATCAGTAAACAGGGCATATTGCCTCTCATTTTGTGCCAGTTTATTGTACAGTGGGGCCTTTACAGCACACGTCACCTCCTCCTCTGGTGACATTACAAAATCTTTGCCTTCTGGCCAGTCCGTGATCACTTCTCAAATTCCTGGGAGACTGGGGTTTCCTGTTCGAGCCTGTTGTGTGATCAGTGTGACCCACTTACTCCACATAGCATCAGTTACATGATGTGTAGAGGGGACCTTCCCTTTGAACATCCAGCCCAGCAGCAGCAGTCGGGAGGAGCTGTGTTTCAGTACCAGCCACTTTTGAGGCAGCTCGAGCCCCTTCATATGCTGCTAATACCTTTTTGTCAGTTGGAGTAGAGTGGGCCTCAGATCCTCTGTATCCCTGACTCCAAAACCCTAGGGGTCGGCCTTGAGTCTCCCCTGGTGCTTTCTGCCAGGGGCTCCAGGTAGGGGCTTTCTCCACAGGTGCAGTATAGAGCAAATTTTAGTTAGTAGTCCTGCCTGGACTGGCCCAAGGGCCACCACGTGAACAATCTCCCATTTAATTTGCTCAAAGGCTTGTTGTTGCTCAGGGCCCCATTTAAAATCGTTCTTCTTCTAAGTCACTTGATAGAGAGGGCTTACAATCACACTGTAATTTGGAATACACATCCTCCAAAAACCCACAACTCCAAAAAAGTCAGTGGAGACACAGCTGTTATTTTGTTGCTCACATCCATTGGCATTGATGATGTCCATCTTGCCATTTTTTTCCTAAAAACTGGACCTCCTGTGCATGTCCCTTAACCTTACTTTGTTATATGGCAAAACCATCTTCCAGGAGGACCTTGACTATTTTCTTCCATTTCTCAAAAGCTTCTGCTGTGTTGCCCCATATGATGATGTCATCAGTGTATTGCAGGTGTGGGACCTGGGCATGATGTAAATGGTATAGAATAAGGGATGGTTTCAGCTGGGATAGAGTTAATTTTCTTCCTAGTACAGTGCTGTGTTTTGGATTTAGTCTGAGAATAATGTTGATAACACACTGATGTT